TTTCATCATTTAAAGTTTATTCATTTGTACATGTAGGTCTGAGTCTAAGCTGAAACCAGAGTTTGTGGGCATAACTTTTGTTCGGCTAACATTAGGACATCGCAGCTGCACACCAAACAGACCAAGCCCAGCTTCTCACCTGTGCTAAGCTAAAAACTTACTTAACGTTAGCATTTTCTGTAGTTTTCCCGTTTTACCTGCTCGGCGACAGCCCGAAACAAACAGGACCCGTCTTTGGCTATCTTCTTCCGATGCAAACCGATCGATTTCAAGTAGTCATCCATTAATTTCTCGACACCCCTCTCGTCAACACTCTGCATGCTTCCGCCGCCGTCCATGCTAGCAGGGGGCTAGCCGCTAAAGATACCTGCGTGTTTTGGACGTCAAGCGGGGCGAAACTTTGCGCTAAAAGTTGTCAATATCGCCACCAAAAAGAGTTACATAACGACATCTACGAGCTAAAATGAGTTAGCGTCAGCGGTGACAGCGTCCAGTTTCGTTTTCCTGGAAGCCCGGTTCATCCCGCTGACAGAATCCCAGCTTCAGAAAGTGAAAGTCAACTTTAGCTCTCACGGTTAGCACGCAGGCTAACAGCTAACAACACGCCCCCTGCACTGTCAAACTTGAACGGAACAGATTCTACAAAGTAAAAGCCTCCATTTGTCAATAACACTCGATTTATTCATCGTGAAATTAACTCCAAGACTCCTCGGTGTATAAAATCCGTTACTGAAGTGATGAATTTAATAATAGTACATTAGTACAACATAATAAAAAGTTCTGTTCGCAGGTTTTCTGACATAATTCATCATAAAACAAAGACTTCCACAGTTGCTATCAAAATAAAAGGATACAGGATACATTTATGAAAACATAAAAAATAATTTAAAAAAAAAAACAAGCTCAATAAATACCAATGAAATGAAATAAAAATGTATAATAACAATAATAATAATACATTTAATTAAATCATTAAAATTTAAATATAAATAAAACCTCTTTTTTATAAATTCAAAGGAAAACGGAGTCTTTCAGAGTCACGTTTTATTTTATTACTGGACTAGGTTCAGCTTACTTATGTCTTAAGTACTTGAGTCATCTATCCTTAGGTGCATTCACTGACTGTATACAAAACGCAGAATTAAGAACACACAAAGGCTTCACATCGTCTTGCGTATAATTTAATTAAACTTTGATCAATGAGGTGAAAAAATTACATAATTTAAAAAAAACAACAACAAAAAACAAAAAACCGTGAAGGTATTTTTTAATGTAATTTCTGAACTGAGACGGGTGGGTATGATTATGACAAAGTTTTAGAGCCTTTAATTGATTTATCGTTTTTACAAAGAAAGATATATAAGAGCCTAAAATTATTTAGTTTCAAACTCTTCTTATGAAAAAAAAAAATAGAAAGCTATTAGCAATAAATAAATAAACAAACAAAATACTCATATGAAAATGATTTATTTCATCCTGTTTGATTTAAATTAAAACCTGTCTTTTCCTTTATAGAGCCATTTTTGTTGTGTTGTATTCAGCTTTCTCCAGGGCGTTTTACTGTCATATTTTATCTATGTATTTATCTATGACCTGAACCAAATGTAAAATGTGCAGATCTCAGCAGCTCAGCATAGTCTTAATAAAGTATATAGAAATAGCAGGAAGCGCCTCAGTCACTTGACTCTTTCTTTTCTTTCTCTCAGTCCTTTTGAGTCCCCCTTTCACTTTTTCAACCCTCAGCGGTTCTTCC